GTTTAGTATTTACATAAATACTGACCTCAGTCGCACTTACATAGGCAACTCTTTCATGAATAAATTTCACTAAAATACAAACACAAGATGGCCTTATCCAGAATTTTCATACATAAATTTCAAAACAAGGATCCGTGTCAAGGACGAAACGTGTTTATGCAAATGACCCAAAACAAGGTTCCAAGAAAATTATACTAATTTGAAGGATTGTTTTTGGTGGGAAGGAAACCGGAGAATTTGGAGAAAAACTCTCGGAGTAAGGAAAGAAACCCACTGACAACCCACGTGTGACGCCAGGTCCACTGAGAAATCGAACTGGCGTGAGGCGACCGCTTTGACACCTTCCTCATTCCCGTTGCCGAAAAGAATTTGTGGGCAAAGTAGACAACTAATTGGTGGCAAAGCAGTTCAAAACATCAAACTTTCGCATCAACCACGTACTTAATTTCTTTGCCATTGGCTATATTCAATACTGCTTGGGGATTGATTAAGTACCTTTAGGAAGGCGCTTGAGAAAATCCCCGATGGTATAGTCTTCGGCTTCTGTTTTGTCAATTCGACGGTGGAATCTGTCCATCAATAGACGCTGGAGACGAACAACATCGGGTAAAAACCGAACGAAGCGTAACTTGTGTTCCTGTATTTGTTTAAACGAGAAAAGGACGTATTAAGAAATACTTTTAATTAAAGACTCCATTTGGCTTTTTACTAACAGATGCCTAAAATTCAACCCTGAATCCGGTTGAAACAAAGTGATAAGACAGGAAAATCTATGTAGTATATAACCCTTGATATTTTCTGCCAAATCTTGAAGATACCTGTTTAAGAAAAGCGTTCAACACTTTGTATTCCTGTTCGCCACTAGAAAGGACTTCTCTTTGAAAACAACTACTCAAGCCCTCTACAGTAACAGTCTGTCTGTACTTCCAAAGAGATCGGGACATAGGCCAGACGCCCTGAGACAAGTCTTCCACCTGTTCATCAAACTCGTTAAGTTCACGAACCAGAGGATCCCTCCCTGAAAACGAAACCAAACAAAGATGTATGAAAAAATTTACACTCAAGAAGTCACGAGACCGCTTACAAAAATGCCAGAGTAAATCAGTGCTTGCAATCACTTGGTAGTCATTCAATTAAATTGCAATCCGTGAAAGTCTTCCCCTTCCCTAATCATCCTCGTTCCTTCCTAGGTTGTTTTTCCGCTTTTGGTGACTCTCTAATATTCTAATCCTTCTCTTTTGTATCGAATGATATTTACAAGGTTGCAGAGAAAGACTAAAAATAATAAGATAAAGCCCCTTACTCCTTACAGAAATACAATACTTTTGGAACCATGTGTGTTCTCTGCAAAAACACCAATTCTTTTAAGCTCTTTAAAAAGACAAATCAGAAGGAGACCTGGACAAGTTGATCTGAAATACATTTCAACCCTTGCTCTTTTTCTGTATGTACCCAAAAAGATTGACTGACAGTAGGTGAAAGCAAGGGGAATACATGTTCGTGAGAGAAACGATTCTGCTCTATGGTGACTCGTTTAGTTCCCGTCGGCTACTGTCTTTGAATGGCTGACTACTAAAAAATCACTGAAGAACACTGACCATTCCAATTAGAATGCGCCAGTTAGTGGCAATTGTATCATTAAACCTGTATCATTAGACTTCTACAGAAAGCAAAGGCTCAGTATCCGCTGAATATTCCATACACCTAAGTCTTCATTTCTGTCATAATATGTACTAGGATTAAACAAAAATTGAACCAGTCGCTCGCATCTCATTTCTTACATCACCAAACATTAATATGAACAAGCGTACCAAATCTCTCGTCTTCCATCAAAAATTTTAAGGCATTCTGCAGTTTCTCGTCAAGATGCTAAGAAGATATTGCAAAAGTATGAACGATTATCATTTGTAGAAAGGTCGTACATAGCAAAAAATGAAAGCAACGAAAAAAAATATCTCAATCTACTAGGAACATACGGTGATGATAGGAACAAGAATCTGAGAGCAGAAATCTTTTTCCCAGCTGCGGCGGCTGTCCCGGGTTTGAAGTCGCATGTCATGGGCTTTCTCTGAAAAAAAGGAAAGAGAAAGGAGAAATAAATGAACGGCAATAGGAATCCTGATAACAAAGCTGCTGATGTTTACGTACAGAAATATTTGGTCGAATATATTTACGTAATAAACTGATTTGCCGGAGCATCTGGATTGAATCCTACCC